AAGTGTGCGGTTGCCGCTTCTGGGACCCCATGTGCTCATGTATCCAACTCCTAGGCCTCCCAAAAACGTTCCAAAGATTACACACAGCGCGGCATCGGTGAAGCTCAGTTTCATTACCAGTGTTCCCAATGACCCGGTCACTATATTATTGATTGCCATACCCATGCTGAACCATGTGAGCATCATGCGGAAAGGGGTTGAACTAGTGTTCTTCAGTCGTTCTTCAAGAGACACGGGCTCGATCCCGCGAGCCTCTAAGCCTTTGATGTTCCTCGCCCATCGTTCGTATCTCGATCCACATGATGGCGGGGGAGTTCCCAGAGTATGTGAAGCCTCTAGCTGCTCTCGTGTCACACTTCGCAAGGAAGGGGATCTCTGTCTTTTTTCTAGGTCAGAGTCCATGCTGGTTCGGGCTTGCCTCTCGAGGGAGCTGTCTGTGCACACTTTCGCGTTCTGCAACAACTTGAACTATAACCTGCTGGGACTCATCAAACTATAAATGAACAAAATAAGGAAAGACGGTCGCCTCACTGGGCATACAGACATTCGAAAAACCGGAGGGTGAAGATTCCAGTGGAACAACCACTGGTTACTCCGTCGTACTGCATTGACATCACTTTGTTTTCCTCGGCGTGACACCCGCGCTCCAAGACCAGAACAGCATTCCACAACATCAGAATACTAAATCGGGATACCGACCAAACCTGGTCAAAAGTACTATGCTTGTACTGGATTGGGCTTAGCAGCACACGTCTACCTCCCCGGAGAACAAAGGGGTTGGTATCCGGATAACAGCTGGAAGGCACCCGATCCGTCAGGGTGTTTGCTCCAACATCGTCATTGAGAGATATTCTTAGTGTATGCTGCCCTATTGTTTTGGCAAGGCCATACACCCTTCCGCACAGACAGTCATGTGAGTGTGTGTTCCACATACCACGCCGATGATGCCTTAATAAGCTCTGCGATACATTCCTCTGGTATGCACCAGCCACGCAAGGAGACGAAATGCTATTCAGGGAGAGAAAATCCTGATGCCTGTATCAAGAGCCAGCAGGTCAAGACCATGTGCTGTTTGTGGGGTACAGAGCATAGAAACAAGAGTGTCAGGTATGGGACGAGCTCATGAACTGCTGATCGGGACCTCGTAGCCCCGGATTTCTAAGTTGCTTCGATCCTTGTCGGGAAAGTGGTGAGCAGGGTGAGGAGAACAAGGGATCATGTCGCCCATGCCTTGTGATATATTCCCCTGACGACTGCGGAGGACGAATACCATTTTGATCATTTTCCCTGAGAGACGGTTACGTACTCGAAACCTCTTCCTAACTCCTTGATAGGGCTCTGAACACTGCCGCGTGCTCATGTATGATTGACAAGCAAGACCAACTGCCATATTGGGTGGTGACGATCCTTGATACCAGGTGATTTGATCCCGACTAAATGCCACAGGCATGAGTCTAATACCGAGGCAGGCGATATTCCTCAGAGGGACATGATTGAATGAGTATCAATGAGCGATAATGCAATGAAGAATGCAACGTGACATGTATTCACCATCTTCAATAGTATCTTACTGAAAAGTGACTACACTTTGCCTGTCAGTGACTAGCTCTGACCCCTCTCATCATCATAAATTCTACGCATATGGGGTTACTTACCTCCACAAACATTCTTTCTTTCTTATCTAAACATGGTACTATTCATATCAATGTAAAAGTCTGGGCGCTCATTGATTGTAAAAGCAAGATATAAACATTAATCCAATAAGAAACAAGAATTTAAGACATTTCCAGAGGTTATGAACTACTTTATATTATCATCATTGCTAAGTACCTAGAGATTTTAAGGTTTCATTTTCTGACTGCATACACCCTAGAAAAAGCCCCTGTCATTCTATGCCAAACTCACAGAACCATCGATTTCGCGAAACCAATCAGCATCTAATTCACGAGCATCATTCACATGCAATACTCTACCATTACAACTAGCATACGCACTCTCCACAGCGACCGAGGTATACAACCAAAAGGAAGGCCGTGCTTAGGGGAAGCACTGCCGGCGTTGACCTTGTCGGCTTTTCGCGCTGGCCCTCTAACCCCCAGCTTGTAGTGTACCAACTGATAATCTTGAGGAACATCCAGAATACTGACGCAGATACATTAGTACGGGAACTAGGTCCTTTTTGCAATAGCCTACCAAAAAATGCACCCTCTGGGAAGCATCTACGATTAATGACATTCTTCATCTTCGTCATCTCTTTAAATTAAGTATCTCATCAGCGGAAATATACTAATGTGATCTTTACACTTCAAATTTCTAATTGACGAAGTACGTCGTGACTTAGACACAGAAAGGCTCCTGTGTAGTCGCAGGTTCGTTCAAAACGTTATATTTGTCAATACGGCCGATGCGAACATAACCTTGTTCTGTCCATGCCAGGTCCTAAACAGGCCACATAGGTATAAAAAGCTGTCGAGAAGACAGTCTATGATGGTGTTTATCTTTGGCTTTTTCAATACTCGGACGTAAACCTCGAGCAAGAAGTGTCAGGGAGTGTCTATAGGATCCTATATCTTGACCAATCCAGGTCAATATTTGCTCATGAGAATAAAAGCCAGAGATCTATGTGGCAAGATAAACATCACTAAACTGCAAAGCTGCGTCCTCTGCCCTCCCAGTTGCGCGAAATTGTCTATCCAAAACAATGAAAATCCAGGATATTCCTTCCATATTATATTTAACACACTCTTGCGTTGCATATGATCCCGAAATCTCGGGCTACTATGCTTTGGAGCTGGTCATCCCTTGGATGTGCCCCCCTTCTTCGCGTATAGAACTTGGAATTGACATGCTATGCTGAGTACTATAACGCAGAAAACCATTTGCAAGCACTCAGACATTGTAAGCAGTTTATCCTCGAGTGCTGAGTAGGCGGCGCGACTCAGTGAAGCGGAACAAGAACTCTGTCACCTGAAGTCCCAGCTCCATGACGGACAGACATGGTTTCTAAAATGGGAGAGCGATGTCACAAATCGGAAGGAAGTCGCTAGCAACGCGAAAGAACCTAGAGGCCCACAGTGATGGTCAGATTTTCAATGACATACAGATGCAGTGCCATTATGTACAGGATGAGGTGGTTGGCCAGTTCAGCATGGCTACTAGAAAGCACCGGGAGATTTCCTGGGCCCAGTGGCTTTCGAAGAATTACACATAACCAACCCTGAAGCTGAATCTGGTACTTTCTCGAATTGACTCAAGTGTACCCCTGAGGAAAAGGAAAAAAAAAGAAAAAAAAAAAAAAAAAAAAAACCGTCAATCGAGCATGAGGATCCAGACAAGAAGTTTGTTTCTGACATCCGTACGTACATCCGTATGTTAGCATAATGCCAGAGGCATCATGGAGACAGTGCTAAGATTGACCGTCGTCATGATCTATTGTCTTTAACAGACCCATGATGGAGATGACTATCTCTTACCCGTGCGTCCTGCGAACAAGCATAGCATGCTAGTTATATTAACTGCTATCCAGTCTACCCAGCAACGTCTAGGTGCTTTTGATGTGCTGGTTGACAGGAGGGATATGACCGCTCGATAAAGGCTGACTGTTCTTTCCTGTGATGATAGTATGATAAGCAGCAATTAAAAGCGAAATGGTGCTTCTGTTACCTGACCAACTAGGGTAAACGTTCATATTTGAAAGGGTTTAGTCGGGGAGTCCTTCAAAACAGGGCTGTCCTAGACAAGACTACCTCCAGTACGACCATGTTCTATGCCTCCTCTACGGTACTCCAATATCTTTGTAAAATAATATTTAGTATGTACTTTCATTATGGATGCCATATATCGGATCGCTTTGTTTTTCTGTGCACCTCGGCTTCTTAAGATAGTGGCTTTTGAAAAAGCCAGAAGGCTGGTGAGTTTAAATCTAGCTCAAAAGGCTGAGTGAACGAAAAGAAGTAGCCGAGCGATGAAAAGACATGCACGACCTTCCCCAGTAGTGTGAATCAGCCGCTAGTACATTCTATATATCTACGTTACAACACAGTTGCTATATTCCACCTCAATTTGAGCAACTCAACGGTATGCGGTTAATCAATGAAGCTCCAATACCCAGAAGAGCTCTGCTCGAGACTCTAAGCAGAATGTACATGGCAGTTTTGCCCTTTCTCTGGCGTGCTTTCCGCCTCTTGAATCATATCCTTACAGGTAGACCGGGCTTTAAAGAGAAGAACCAAATGTCCAAGTTGCTGAATTCGAGGATAGTACTCCAAGATATAGGTGTGAATATAAGTGTTTGATTGTTAGGTCAGAGACCGGGTAGGCAGAGATGGCAGGGATTCAGGTTATGCCTGGCTAAGTGAATGTCTGAGTCTAAACATGATATTTTAGTCAAAAGCCACATTCTCTGAAATACGGACGTTGTTGAAGTACTTTGGTATTTGCTGAGAGAAGAGAACTATGTGCTTCATCTGAAATATATATATTTGTAAAGCCTCAGAAACTAACCAATTTTAATCAAACTGTCGTAGGGAGTGCTCTGACAGAGTCGTTGACACGACTTACTGCGACATCTCTGAGTAACTCCTCCACGGGAAGATTTGACACAGAAGTTAAGCAATGGACAATATGCCAAGCTTTATGTCTGAATTCAATTGCTTCTGACCTTAGGTACTTGTTGTATATAACCTACTTAGTAGTAGAAGTCTTGAGGAGCGCTTAGGGTAATGCATCGGCTTCGGCTAGCTACTTATATATACTGGCCAGTTCTGCTGGGCAGTCACCGGAGAATCAGGATGTTGCCAACAATAGTAGGATATACTAATTGAGGGAATTTCCATCTTCACTTACTTTATCCTAGTTTGCTGCTTGTCATATTCACGATTAATGCACGTGATGTAAGTGGGATCAAAGTAGGTGAAACATTTAAAGTATCCTTCTGCCGAGTGACCATTGGTATATTGGGATTTCTTCAGTTAGAAATGCTGTGAGTCAAGCCGCCAGCCATGATTGAAACCTACCACGACGAGCCATCTCCGTATTGCATCGGTGCAGTACTGGCTATTCAGTCACACACTCCTCCTCCTCCGTTCCACAAGCATGAGATATTTCAACAAGAGAGACCACGGCGTTCGATTTCTCCCCTCGAGTTGTCTCTCCAGAACTCCGTTCTGCCAAGCTCTGACTGTCACAATTTTGTCAATATCCATTTGCTAAGGGGGCTTCAAACTGGCACTCATAAACGGTCCCAGGTATTTATTGTAAGATGTGTGGATACTTATCATTCTTCAGGTCTACCGACAGATCAGGACATGGTCGCCAAGTTCTATGACCCTCTCTACCACGACTGTGACGATGGCAACCGTTTTCGGGCAGCTGACTATGATTACTCGCACGAGTGTGCCTCTTATAAGCGCTTGTCCGAGCTACAGGGCTCTGTTCTTCCCCGATTCTTCGGCTCTTACACATTTAAAACAAAGATCGATGGTCATCCTCGCCAAATTCGTTTGATCTTGATTGAAGGAATCAATGGTCTGCCCATGAGTCGCCTAGAGCCCAAAATATTCTCAAAAGAAGAGCGCCAGGATATTATGAGACAGATAATTGATGGAGAGTCTGCACTTTACGCCAAGGACGTTCGCCATGAAGACCTATGTCCACGCAATATCTTGATTGAACGGAGTGAACTGGGAAGAGTAAGGGCCGTCATTATTGACTTGGGAAAGTCTGTCATTGGACGATCACGCAACCCTTCCAACAGTGCAGAAGAGAGCCAATGGTTTCCTGGCGTTCCAATCAGCCCACTACTTAGATGGAACATCTATTATGGATACCCTAACAGCTTTGGAGATTGGATCGACTGGCCGTGGCAGAAGTGGCTTGAGGTTCAATACAAGGAGACTGAATCTACGATCACAGATGAGCAACGGCAGAGGTGGCCAGTGTATGACTGGATGCTGGAGATTACATCATTTTCATGATATAGTGGGAGATGTTTTGAGCCCATGTTGTGCCAGAGAGTCGAACAACTTAGCAAGAGATACAAGCTGTTCTTAGTTATCTATACCTTCCACCATTATGTCAAGACCAACATCCATGTGAAAGCAGGCCATCAATTCCTCAGATTGGATTGCAGTGAGCCTAGGCATCTTGTTTTTCCAGTTCAGGTAGTTCCTCCCGACAAAGCAACCAAGCATGATAATCACGAAAGCTCTTAGCCCGCGCCATCCTCTACGTACCTACTAGCATCTACGTAGCACTTGGACCGAGACATGCGGACCCAACCCGTGAACCTACTGTATGTTGACAAGCAAACAGACGAAAACGAAAGGGAGATAGCAGCCCAAACCTACTACCTACCCAATCCAACCTTATTAGAGTGTAGAAACAAAATGAAAGGGAGAAAAGCCCTCTTCCAAGCAAGCTGACGACATCCGTGTCACCCGGAGCTTGTGCTTGTGGTGGCTATGCTATGCGCATGTAACCACTCGGCTAACGCAGAGCTTAGCATAGGCGGATTGACAAGTCAGGTTGATGGCATTATTTGCTTATCCGTACGGGAGTAGATACTTACCCCATAAAGGTTGGGTTTTAGAATGGGGTCCAAACGAGATATGATGAGACTGTACACCATTGTGGTAGGTGTCAGGTTTTATGAAGCGTCCCTTACGGGATGATCGTGATGATGCCGTGGTGATGGTGGTGGTGCAACGGGCAAACTGATGACATGGAATAGGATAGGACGGAGAGCTCCGCCCGGAGAATTAGCATAACATGACAATAACAATACGCAGGAAAGTGTACTGCATTGCACTGCACTACTTTACAGTGATAAACATATTGATAGAGGCATGATCTGATGTCACCAGGTTTATTTGCTGTGGATGTTAGTGGAAATAGGATGCGCCGGATATGAAGTCAAAATCAGACAAGTTTCCAAGTATTTACTAGACTAAGAAGGAATATTCTTCCAGACGAGGATAATAAACACATTATTATTACCCTCCGGCTAAGCTAAAGCTAACCTTACTTCCCTGTCGACTTGCTTTTTAGTATGCAAACTAGACTAGTCAGGTTCCCATACGTGGATTAGATGGATGGGGCCCTTTTTTTTTCTTGCACCGCCCCCTTCCTGCCAAGTCTTGTTTTCTTCTTCTTTCTCCTCTTGTTCCTCTCCTGGTAAAGTAGACTGACTATTTACTGACGGAGAAAGTTAGGTTGGGGGTTCGGGCTGTTGTTCCACAAGTCTAGACTTGTTGGCGGGTTCTCTTCGTCATCTTGCGTGTTGTTGACAGGATATTGGTGATCTGTTAAACATAAACCGTTTGATAACTTTGATTTATCCGTCCTTTGACATTCATCACAGTCTCTCGGGTGGCATGTGGTACATGGAATATTCTTTCCCTGGCGAACCCGGCGGTTAGACCTGATGCGTAGCGTGCATTAGCTCGACTAGTCCAAACATTAATGCATCGTCATTAATTTGATGGCTTCTTAGTAAGTTACTTAACTAGCGAGTAGAGCGATGAGTAGATAGATAGACAGATAGTATTCTAGATAGATAACTAACTAGTCTAGTTTATTGTTCTGCGCCGCCTATCCATCTACTTGGTTGATAGTACGTGGTCCGAGTGGAGCCCCTTTCTTGGGGGGTCAAGTTAGAACACTTGAAGAGGCAGGTCCAACATCATCACGATGGATTCCCCCATCTGAGTAGTAAAAACCGAGAACAAGAAATACAGTGCGGCATTTGGTCCGTCTAAATACCGCTAGTGTTCTGGGGACCATCTCGTAAACCGGCATTGGTAGCATTGGAGGTAGAAAGTATCTGCCTCACTGCTGGTAAATCGGGAGAAAATTGGCTGGTGATGAGTTAAGGTACGTGGATGGAGCACGTCCTGCTTCGGGTTCCATTCCCCTTAATTCTAGCTCGACCGTTAGTCTAGAGAGCGAGGGATGCACTACCGAGGTGTGGATTTTGTCTCTTCCGTCACCACTTTTCCGTTCCCTCCTCCCTTTCCAGTAAGCAACTCATTAGTAGTACCTACTCCATAGACTCATAGTCTAGATGTCACATCGGATTATTTCTTGCACTGAAAAAGACCTTCTTCCCCAAACAGGTCTGGAAACACAGAAACAGAAAAGAAAGGGAGCAGGACAATCATATCAATAATGGCGGGTAATAATAAAGGCCTGAAAATTAATGAAATGGGAATAAAATAAAATAGATTTTTCTGAAAGGGGGAAAGGTGGGAAAAAATCAAATCAAAAGACTTTTGATGACGGGGTCGAGAATGAGGCAGTGCAAAAGTGAACCGACGAGTTACGTTACAGCTTTGGCCGAGTCGGAGCTCTGCAGAGGTCATTAGGCCCGTTAAACAATCCCCCCCAAAGAAACCAAACACCCCCAGCGCCCTGTTTTGGTGGCAAGGAGGTCGCCTCAATCCGTGGATATTCCTGTTAGAGGTCAGAAAAAGGAAGAGAATGATTGAAAGGCGCTCTCCCTTTATATGGATGGAGGTTTGCCCTGAAGATCGATAAACCAAGTGCCCTGACGAAGCAGAAACCATCAAACATGGGGTAGATAGTCAGCCATCGGGCAATTGGCAGCTTTTCTTCTGCAAACAAACAGCTTTCGTTTCCCAAACTTACCACATCACTCGATCTGGACCAACCGGTGGGTCCACAGTGGGGCAGCTAGCCATAGTGATTGGTCCTTTGCAGGATAGGTGCAGGGTCTACCACCGAATCATGCTGTAGTCGGTAAGTAGGTACCTTACCTGACAGTACAACTGCGCCTGCCATTCCTCTTTCTTTACTTCCATGATCTCAATACCCTCTATCAATCGTTCTATCCACCCAATTTCATGATGTGTCGTTGTTCTGCTTGATTCCCCAATTTCTCCCTCCCCCATTCATTCTCCCTTTCTCCTCCACTTGACTTTCTCTTGCCCTTAAACCCTCTTTGTCTTCACTTCATTCCGTAATTTACCTCCATTGGTTCTGTGCTCCTTACGCCGACACAAGTGAGGTTCGGTCGCTGGATTGTCGGTTTCCCCCCAATTCCCCTCAACGCAAAACGTCTGTCCATTCGCTGGCTTTCAAGTAATACCTCGTCGCTGATAAGCCCTTCTAGCACTGGCAGTGCTCTTAATCCGTTTATACTTTGCCGGGATTGGTCCCACCATCGGGTCGCGTTTCGATAATTGTCACCTCCGGATGTGCTCCTGATACGACGTTACTACGTGGTGTGGCTCTCTGGTGCTGGCAAAGCTTGTCAACCTTCATATTCCACCGTTGTCCTTCCCTCCTTTTCGCCTCACTAGTCGCCTGTTTCACGTCTTCTCTCGTGCTTCTCTCAAATCGCTGTTCAATCGATGTGGACGTTCCTTTCTCCCACGGCCAGTCCCGCGCATTCGTCTGTTTAATCCGCCGCGCCAGTTCTTAGTGTAGCTAGAACACATGGGATATAATACTCGCGCATTCCTCTTCGGTGTCCGCTATTGAGCTTAATCGGTTGCTACTTGCCTCTGGAATGACACCCACTCCTCTTGCGCCTGGCTCCGACATTATATGATACGGCGCTGTTCAATTGTTCCGCTCCTTTTGGAGCCGCATTCCTATTGACGTCTAGTATCCTAGTTCTTACCAACCGGTTGCCATCGCTCCCAAGACCCACTCATCTCCGGTTGTTTCACCCCTTGGAAATATCATGCCGGATTCCAAATCGGATGGCCATGATGCTAGGCAGTCAGGGTCGACTCCCCTGCGACGGGAGCGGGCCCCGACTATCACCATCGATACGTCGGCTGTAACGTCCTCAACCGACCAGCAAGAACCCCCGCAACAGATACTTCCTACCCCATCCCACCCCTCTTTACAAGTGTCTACCGAAAATGTTGATGCGCATGATATGAGCGCGCTCTTGAGCAGTGGGGGTGTCTCGCCATCGTCAGTTCGCTCTTTTGCGTCATCTGAGAACCGGGACTACGAGAGTCGTCCTACATCCCCGCACAATATCTCCTCTCCCGCCTCGAAAATGACGGAGAACATGTCGAATTCGAATTACCTAGCTGTCCCCGGCACCAGGTCTCGCGGTAACTCGTTGGAATCTGAGGACTCAAATAATTCGTATACCAGCTCGTACGGGGGAGATACCTATGTTCCCACAGCATCTCACGGCTCGCGCACCGATTTGACCCAGAACACGATAATCTCCGATGAGGATGCCCTGAAGCCGGATCCGGGGCGAGAGGCCGAGTTTGAGGTGGAAGACAACAAATTTGCATTCGCGCCTGGCCATCTGAACAAGCTATTGAACCCTAAGAGCCTGGGGGCATTTCATGCGTTGGGAGGGTTGCGTGGAATCGAAAAAGGACTTCGAACCGACGCGCGGAGTGGTCTGAGTTTGGATGAGGGAGATCTGGATGGTACAGTGAGCTTCGAAGATGCTACTAGCACGCAAACGTCCGAATCGCTGCCAAAGACCGCTTCCTCGACGCCAACGAGCCCTCCCAGAACCGGCACGGGCTCGTCGAAACATGTCGAAAATGCCTTTGGGGATCGAAGCCGCGTCTATGGGAGGAACAAGCTTCCTGAAAGGAAGGCGAAGAGTTTTCTGGAGCTGGCTTGGATTGCATACAACGACAAGGTTCTGATTCTGCTTACGATAGCTGCAATCATATCTCTCGCCCTTGGAATCTATCAGTCTGTGACGGCAACGGGGAAGGAAGCACGTGTGCAATGGGTAGAGGGCGTGGCTATCATTGTTGCCATCCTAATCGTGGTCGTTGTGGGTGCCGCTAATGACTGGCAAAAGGAACGCCAGTTCGTCAAGTTGAACAAGAAGAAAGATGATCGACTGGTGAAAGTGGTCCGTTCCGGGAAAACTGCAGAGATCTCCATTCACGACATTCTCGTGGGTGACGTTATGCATCTTGAACCCGGTGATCTTATTCCAGTTGACGGTATATTTATTACTGGCCACAATGTCAAATGCGATGAATCCTCTGCGACCGGTGAGTCGGATGTGTTACGCAAGACTCCTGCTCACGATGTCTATCGGGCGATCGAGCAACACGAAAACGTCTCGAAGCAGGACCCGTTCATCGTATCTGGTGCCAAAGTCTCTGAAGGTGTAGGGACGTTCTTGGTTACAGCAGTCGGTGTTAATTCGACATACGGAAAAACCATGATGTCTCTTCAGGATGAAGGGCAGACCACCCCGCTGCAATCGAAGCTAAACGTGCTCGCAGAGTACATTGCAAAGCTTGGTCTTGCTTCCGGATTACTCCTGTTCGTCGTGCTTTTCATCAAGTTCCTTGCGCAGTTGAAAGATATGGGCGGCGCATCCGAGAAAGGACAAGCTTTCCTGCAGATCTTCATTGTTGCTGTGACCGTCATTGTTGTTGCTGTCCCAGAAGGTCTTCCTCTGGCTGTCACCCTGGCGCTCGCCTTTGCAACGACCCGGATGCTCAAGGACAATAACCTCGTACGCCTGCTAAGAGCCTGTGAAACCATGGGAAATGCCACGACTATCTGCTCCGACAAAACAGGTACCCTGACGGAAAACAGGATGACCGCCGTCGCGGCTACTCTGGGAAAGAATCTAAGATTTGGAGACAAGTCTACCGAAACTTCTAGTCGTCCAGACGGCGACCGGGGTCGCGACCCTGCGACTACTCTTTCTCCCTCCGAGTTTGCATCCAGCCTTTCTGCTCCTGCCAAAGACCTTTTGATCCAGTCGATTGTATATAACTCCACGGCATTCGAAGGGGAGCAAGACGGTGTAATGACTTTCATCGGTTCGAAGACGGAAACTGCCCTTCTGGGATTTGCGCGTACGTATCTCGGCCTAGGGTCACTCAGCGAGGCTCGGGACAACGCAAATCTTGCTCAGATGGTGCCATTTGACTCCGGACGCAAGTGTATGGCGGTGGTCGTCAAGATGGAAAATGGTAAATACAGAATGCTGGTCAAAGGTGCATCCGAAATACTGGTTGCGAGATCCACTCGTATTGTTCACAACGCTACCCAGGACTTGTCAGAAGGGCCCATGTCGGATCAAGACCGGTCTAACCTGGACAACTTGATCAACCGTTATGCATCTCATTCGTTACGAACTATTGGTCTGGTGTACCGGGACTTCGATCAATGGCCACCCCGTGGGGCTCCTACTCAGGAGGAGGATCGTTCGCTCGCTGTTTTCGATGCAGTCTTCAAGGATATGATTTTGTTGGGCGTCTTTGGTATTCAGGACCCCTTGCGACCAGGTGTGACCGAGTCCGTTCACCAGTGTCAACGTGCAGGTGTCTTTGTGCGTATGGTGACTGGTGACAACATCATGACTGCCAAAGCTATCGCCCAAGAATGCGGTATCTTCACTCCTGGGGGCATTGCTATTGAGGGCCCCAAGTTCCGTCAGTTAAGCAGCCGTCAGATGACGCAAATCATCCCGCGGCTACAGGTTCTGGCCAGGTCAAGCCCCGACGACAAGAAAATTCTGGTTACCCAACTCAAAAAGCTGGGTGAAACGGTGGCTGTGACAGGCGACGGTACGAACGATGCACAGGCTCTCAAGACGGCTGATGTTGGCTTTTCTATGGGAATTTCTGGCACTGAAGTTGCTAAAGAAGCGTCCGATATCATTCTCATGGACGACAACTTCACCTCGATTATCAAGGCTATGGCTTGGGGTAGGACAGTCAATGATGCTGTCAAGAAATTCCTTCAGGTATGTTTTTGTATGATTCTGTGTTTCGCAAGCAAAGCTAACAGAGCTGTAGTTCCAACTTACTGTCAACGTTACTGCCGTGGTCCTCACTTTTGTTTCCGCAGTAGCGAGTGGAGATGAGGAATCTGTCCTGACAGCAGTTCAGCTTCTCTGGGTTAACCTTATCATGGATACTTTTGCGGCCCTTGCCTTGGCTACGGATCCCCCCTCACCTCATGTTCTCGACCGTCGACCTGATCCTAAATCGGCGCCGTTGATCAATTTGACTATGTGGAAGATGATTATCGGACAGAGTATCTATCAGTTGGTCGTCACGCTGGTTCTGAACTTCGCGGGACAATCGATCTTTCACTACAAAACGGCAGACGACCTCGATCGGCTTGAGACGATGGTGTTCAACACGTTTGTCTGGATGCAGATCTTCAACCAGTGGAACTGTCGCCGACTCGACAACAACTTCAATATCTTCGAGGGCATGTGGCGAAACTTCTGGTTCATGGGGATTCAGTTCATCATTATTGGTGGACAAATTCTCATCATCTTCGTTGGTGGACAGGCGTTCTCTGTCAAGCGACTCAATGGAGCTCAGTGGGGTGTTTCGCTGGTTCTGGGCGTCATCTCGCTGCCGGTAGCCGTGATCATTCGATTGATACCTGATGAGTTTATTAGCCGGCTCATCCCTCGGTTCTGGCAGCGCAAGAAGGGCCCCGAGCTACTGGTGTCCGACGAGGACCGGCGGTTCGAGTGGAACCCTGCGCTCGAGGAGATCCGGGATCAGTTGAAGTTCCTCAAGACGGTTCGCGGAGGTCGGCTGAGGCATCTCAAGCACAAATTGCAACATCCTGAAGAACTCCTCCCAAGATCACGAAGCGGATCACGTTCCAGAGAAAACTCGATTCCCGGTACTCCTGTTGGCGAACACAGCGACAGCACCCCGACACAGCCCCCTACTCCCGATTCGCGCTCTAGACGACGCACTCGGTCCCGCTCGAATTCAGCCTTCGGGCCTGCTGC